ATTTTTGTTGATTAATAAATTTACTTTTTGTTGATTAATAAATTAAATTTTTCAAAAACAAATATTGTATGTCTTTCACTTTTTATATAATTAATCCCAAAATTCACGAGAATTTCTTTTATCTAACAAAAAGATAATTTCAAAAAAATTATAAAATGGGTTCGATTCAAATTTTATATAAAAAAAAATAAGAATATTAAACCAAATCACCCATGAATTATTTTATTGTTAAATACAAGAAAATACAAATCAACTTTAAGGTATATCTCTATTTTCTTTTTTCAATATTAAACTTTATGTAGCTTTTTTATCCATCAATGTTGCAAGTTTCTTAATTATGAAAAATCATCCATATGCTTATTAACCAAAAAAGGAAATGAAGATCAATACCTCAAATTTGCATTTTAGTTTTCTTTTTTGCAGTACCTAAATTTATGAAATTATCTCATAGATATTGAATTTAAGAGTTAATAATTATCAATTAAACCAAAGTATGACTTGTTGCATTTTTCTTTGCTTATATTTTATTTGTGTTTAGCTTATATATTACTTATGTGTTGCTTGGAAAAAAAATATTTCAGCTTTTTTAATAAGAAGAAATTGTTAAAATTCAAGTAGAAACATACCTCATCTATATAGTTTTTTCAGTATGAATATTTTATCCGACATCAATTAAAAAATTTGTAAGTTTTAGATCATGAAAATGCCGGTAAGAAAATTTAAATGTTGGTAAGCATATAAACATGTATAAATCTCTTATCATCAATTTTTTTGAATCATAATTCATCTAATTGTTGACAGTTAAATCCAATTTAAATCATAATCCTTCTTTCCTCCATCAATCCTCTCCAATTGAATCGATATCTATAATCTTAATTTTATCTAATTCGGCAAGGTCAAGTTCTCCGTCGTATCCAACAAAAAAGAAAAATAGGAGAAGAAACAATTTTGGTTATGGGTTAACGAGGAAGATGAAGATTTTTTTTTAATTATTTTTGGC